CAACGAATATTGGGATTGACCGTCACATTATAACGCTCCCACGGCTGAAAGGGCGAGCATGTTTGGTGGTGCTGGGAGAATGGGTAATGAAGAAAAACTTTAATATAAGTTTAACATAACAGCAAATGTACAACGCTTCGACAAGGTTTTGTCATCATCAGGTACCTGTTATGTTAAACTTATATGAAAGTTTTTCTTCATTACCCATTCAAGCCGTCTCCAACCATTATTACACATCCGGATGAGACATTGCAAGATGTGAGGCTGTACAGGTAGTACTTTCATATCAAAAACATCAGAAATAGTCATATTTGAGGCGAGATGTAGGAAGTTAGATGTCAAATCTTCACATAAATAAAGCTTACCACCTCACTTACAAGAGCTGAATAATTGGAGCTGTGAAAGTTTAACAGTTGATTGATGCCAGATATTACAAAACTTTCTCTGGTGGATTTCATGACATACTTCAAACAAAGAAAATATCTCACAAAACTAATACTGGAAATGCAGCACTGATACATTGGTTAACCAGATGACTTTCACTTGCAAAACAGGCTGAAATAAAATCCATGAAGTAGCAAGGAGTGAAAGAATTGAGTACTAGTCCATGGGTTTCACCAATTGTACTTGTGAAGAAAAAAGGATGGATCGAAAGGGGTCAGCATGGCCTACCATAGGGTGAAGGAAGTCACAAAGAAGGATGCTATCCACTATCAATGATAGACTCTACTTGGGATTCTCTCTGTCTGGACAAAAATATTAATTTTTAAGAGTGGATACTGGCAAGTGCAAGTCAAACAAATCAAATAGAGAGCAGATAGCTTTTAATACAGGAAATGTTTTTTCATTATTTTTGTATAATGTGTATGATGAGCAAAGCAAAGTTCTGGATAAGTTGAGGAATAAGAAACTTAAACTAAATTCCAAGAAGTGTAAATTACTCTGTCAACAAGTGAGTTTCTTGGGGCACATAATAAGTACAGAGAGAATGTCTAAAGATCCATCAAAAACTGACTCTGTATAGAATTTGCCAACAACAACGAATCTACATTGAGTAAAATGATTTCTTGGACTGTACTCTTACTATCATCATTATGTAAAATTATTCTCTGGCATAGCTAATACTGTACACACATTACCTGAAAAGCCAAATAAGTTTTTGTTGATTGATGATTGTGAACAAGCATTCAAAAAATTAAAGAAAGAATTGACCATTACTCCTATATTAGCATACCCAACTCTTGAAGATCCATTCATTTTAGATACAGATGGCCATGATTTTGCAGTGGGAGCAGTCATAGGCATACGGCGTATTTTTCAGAGGGGGGAGGGCTGTACAATTTTTGCCCGAATGAGGTTATGAATAAGAAAGGCTTATTTTGTGGTATAATTCTTGTGTAGCAGAGTTTTTGTGTCATACTTGCATTTAATGCTTTGTTTTTATAGTGATGTCTAAAGGTCATAACTTCTACTATGATAAATGGGAATGATCAACATAGTCTTTATAAAACTGATAAATTGAACTCTCAAGTAAAGGCAATTGTAGTTGTAGTAAATGTTGTCTGTGTTGTTGTTGTTGTTTTTTTAAAAAAAAGATTATTTTCACTATGAATTTTACATTTTTTTGTCTTTTTCTTTTTAAAACTCACTGAGGCTCAGATGATGGTATTTACTTCATAATATATTTCTTATTTAAAACCTATTATTTTGTAGAACTTATCTAGTTTATCTGAGAATACCACTCAGGCAATAAATTCAATACATTAGTATAATGAAGTTTTGGACCTCAAAATCACGTAATCTATTGCAACCTTCAAAACTACATCAGGTACAAATTCTATATAGCTTTATGTTCTTTAAAAATACTTCGTGCAACTTACTGCTCCTTCATAATTCTCACCCACTCAGTAACCCATATAACAAACAGATGTTAGGCCAACGTTCTTTTTGCTCATGCATAGGCTGAACATGGGCCTATAGACAACGTAAAACCAATATGATTCCATCAGTGTTCCAACTTCTAATACTGATTACTTAGATAGCGGATTAAGGTTTGTTCAATGTCGGTCTGATGTAAGTACCCACTTTTTGTGAACTGTGAAAAAAAAATGTGTATATTCACAGAAATGTATTCACTCTAGCACTCTGTGGAATAACTTATGTTGGACGACAGTGAACCACCACGATGGCCAACTAAAAGCTGATGTGCCAATTGCCATTTGGCCAACATTATTTGTCAACTTTTGACCAACGTAATAGGCAACGTTGGGCGAACAGTAAAAGAAAAAAAAAGTATATTCTTACATTGGGCCAACAATGAACCAACCCCTAGTCAACTAAGATCGAAGTGTAAATTGCTGGTGAGCCAACATAAATTAACTGGCAATGTAGAACCAACAGATAAAAAAGTGGATGCTTACATTGGGCCAACGAATGAACCAAAACGTTGCCCCAACTAAGAGCTGATGAACAAGTTGCATTTGGGCAAACATAATTGAAAACGTTGGGTCAACATTTGACCCAATTTTGAACTGATACTTGGAATGTCAGTTAATTACCCACTAGTCTTTTACACAATAATGAGCCGATGTTGGGCCAATGTAGCTTTACCACCGCCAACGATGTATCAATAAATCGATCATCTACCAACTTTTGTTTAACCTTGGTCTAGTATCTAGGCTACTGCTTTTTAGAAATATTTCCTCTCTGAATTTCTAGACTGCTTACCAACTTTCAAGTTTATAAAGCCTAACAGTGACACTTTCTATAAAGTTCTTGTTTAATAAGAATGTGTTCGTATATTGCATATCGTAAACCCACAAAAAGGGACATCTCACCATTACTGTCCATAATCTTTAACCGATAAACTAGGGGAAAGGCAGCTAAAAAAAGCATCCACTACCAGTTCTGTTCTTGTGGTTTGATTTTTGTGTGTGTGTGTGAATTTCGCGCAAACCTACACGAGGGCTATTTGCTATAGCCTCTCTTATAGACTATAGAGAAGACGTCTAGTCAACACCGGCAGCGCTTTCTTCAACTTTCCCTGACCGAATAGTGAAATTTGACCGTCACCTTTATATCGCACCCTTTGCCTTAAAATGTGGAGCGTGAATATTATTATTTCGTTTGCGATAACGGGACGCGAACGATCCACAGTTCAACATGGTAATTTCTAATTAAGCTATATTCGGCTCAGTGGAGAATCATAAATAGTAAATCATCAAAGAAAGAAAAATCATTCATAGTATTTTCAGCAGTAATTCTCATTTTCGGTATAAAACTTTATATTTTCAAATTAAAATGTCTAGAGATGAATGTTATCTTTAAAGATATTTTCCCTGTCGCATGTGTCGAGAAGTGTGTATTTTCCATCTTAAATAGAAAGATTTTGTTAGTATTTCCTAACTTTCCATTGCTAACAATTTCAATTACTCTTTGTGTTAGAAGGATTACCAAGTAAATATACTCTTTCAAAAACTATCACGGGGTGAGTCAGCAACAAGTTTATAGAATTACAACTCTAATATCCAGGGTTCGATACTTCGCGGAATTGAAATAACTTACTTATTGTGCAGCTTTGTGATGAAAAATCTATGAAAAACTAGTGTTGCATTATAACTTTACATTAATTTATAGGCATGTTTGTTTTTGTCTTCCCTCCTTTTCCACTTCAAAAATACTGCCTTTGTTCTTTTAACCAATGCTGCAAAGAGACCAAAAATAAATACGTACTCTGGTACTGAAACTAAAGTTAAACACCACAACAAGCTAGTGTCCTGAAGCGTTTTTTTGGGGTCAAGTTTAAAATGGCTGCAGTAAGTGCTGAAACTGTTTCTTTGAATAATAAGGCAAGTGTTTTGTTCTATTTTTATGTTAATGAGAATCTATTCTTAAAGGGTTTATCATGTATATGTCACTAAAAATATAATATACTATATAGTACTTTAGTAGTATAATTTTATGTGTAACGTGTAAGTAAGTATAATTTTTAGTGTTTTCACTTTCAGTGATATACCTCTAAAATCTAAGTCTAAGTTAAAGTGGTGGTAAATCAGTATACTCATAGTTATACAGTGATAGGAATGATTTAAAGTTTAAGTTTAATACTGATAGTCCAATATATTTATAATTAGAGCTTTTTTATTATTAAGTAATTATATACGAATTTCCTTAGAAATAAAATTAATTAAAAGACAAAAGTGAAAAAGTATAGCATAAATTAAGATTGACCTCCCAGAAATAGTTCACTTTTAGACCATATTTCTTGTCAAATGGTGCTCTGGGGTAAGTTTGTTTATCTTAACTTTCTCAACCAAACAGATTTATACTGATGATGTGATTTAAAAGTAAAACGTACATTAAGGTTTATGATGTCTAAATTAATAAAGCTTCATTATTTCAAATAAGGCATCTAAGGGTAACTTGAGGACTTATTGTTAATCATAATGGGATATTATAATTTGAATTATGAGTATAACTTTGATGGGAATAACCTTAAAAATGTTGTGGAAGTAAAGGATTTTGATGACCTAACTGATCAGTCTCTTAAGTCATCCAAGCAATGTGTTTAAGTATACGTATCGTCACGGTAGGGGTATGTTTTCACCCGACACGATCATGTCACATGTCTAGAATGTCAATCAAAGTAAGAAGGGTTTACCTTTAGGTTTAAAACAAACATAACTATGCTTTAATTACTCCTTACCAGTGGGGTTGGAAGTAAAATATAT